TTACGTTCAGCCTAATTAACTTATTTATGCAAATTTTAGCTTGTTATACTTCTTTCAGCTTTTTGTTGTTAGTTTCAGCTTTTTTCTGCTATTTCAGCTATTCTTTAGCTGTTTTGTGCCAATTTTAGATTTTTCAGCTACTTCCACATTTTTTAGCTCATTTCAGCTCTTCCCAATTCCTTCTGGTAACTGAAGCTTCTTTCTGCTGTTTCAGCTACTTTTCAGCTACTTTTTGCTAATTTCAGCCTTTTTTTTTTAGCTAATTTCCTAATGTTTGTGCTCTTTTCTGCTTATTTAAACCTAATTCGGCAAATGTGTGTTGTTTCTGCTGCTAATGTAGGCTTGTTCTTGATTTCAGCTACATTTAAGCATGTTTTTAGCTAATTTCAGCTGTTTTTCAGCAAATTCTTCATTAATAAGCATTCACACTGCAACAGCATGGTTTTGTAGTAAAATTGGCGAGGTGTTGAAGTGGTCTGACCAACTGAAAGCATTTGATGTGTGGTGAAACTAAAGAAACGGGTAAAGAAGATCCAGGACTGCTGAACAGCTACAACCTACATGAAACAAGAATGGGACAACATTCCCCTCCAAAAACTCCAACACCTAGTCTTATTCAGTTCCTAGAGGTCTACAGACTGTTGTTAATTGAAGAGGGGATGAGTCAGAGATAAACACGGCCCTGTCCCAACTTTTTGAAATATGCAGCTGCTATAAAATTCAAGGTTGCCCTTAAAGAGTAAATAAAACATTTACAGCTGCTTAGTTGACACATTTGATAAGTTTTCTATTTTCCATTGTGATTAAAATAAGTTCATGGCTTTGCTAATCATAGTTTTCTGTTTTGTTAGCAATAACAATTTTTAAGATTTGTGATTTTTAAACGACAAAAATAAATTGCAACTAGGTCACAGTTAACGTTTCAGGGCGCGGCTCCGTCACTGAACCACATCGTCTACGATAAAAGTGATTCTCACACGAGAAGGCCAGGTCTCCAGTGACGATGCGTTTCCTGTCGGTGGCATTGCTGATATTTGGAAAGTGGGCGTCCAGTACCAGGAAGGCAACACAAGCCAGGAAGCCCAACACCCCAATCGCCACGCTGAAACTACAAGCATGGTCGTTGTCATTGAACATGCAATGGTTGTTCGGTTCCACTCTGGTTGTATTTGTGTAGCCTTTTGATGTAATGGTACCAAAAACCACAATGGAAAATACCTGCAAATAAAAACAAAAGCCCACAAGTTTAATTTTAAGGAAATAAAGTGGAAATGGTACAACTATGATGAGGCATGAGTCACATAAAAAAAAAAAGGCTTCGTCTTTAGTGAAAGCCATGTGAAAAGACATCTGTCGAAAAGTCCAGACATGTGAAACCAAGAAAATTATGTTAAGTTTCAGTTTCTCACAGACTTTAGGAAAAAACATACTGCATAGAAAAAAATTGAATTATTTCCTATTAATATTAACTAAAAACGCACGTGTTTTAAAAACAATTCAAATATACCAGATGAGACTTTACACTAAAACTCTACGTGAGCATTTATTACATCACATGGTGAAACTTGACTAATCATCTATTTAAGATGGTTAAAGACGTCATAAAATAAAATGAAATCTACAATAATATATGTTTCTAAGCTTTTTCCAAGTGCTATGTCCACATTTACCAACATCTGGCATCATTTAATCTATGTTTAACTCTGTGAATGTGTCTGTTCATCTGTAGTGTTAGCTAAAATACCCATTAACAACAACTGGGCATTTTTATTAAACTCTTAAAAAGGAATTAGATAAATACAGCTGTAATTTTTTTTTGGAGTCAACCCAAATCAAGATGGCTGCCACAGCTGACTAACATTATCATCCACAGAAATGTCTGAAACTCAGTTACGTTTATAGGTATTGAGTTAAAGTTTGATACGGCAGTATGTGAGTCATCAACACAATGAGCACTACAAAGGTCTTGCAGTGTCAAATGAAATGAGATTTGACAGACACATGACTAGAACTTTGTGTCAGCTCATCAAAGAAGGATTTTAGTTCAAACCTCTGGCATGAAAGATGGTGTATGCATTAAAAATACCTATTTAATGTGTGTGTGTGTGTATATATATATATATATATATATATATATATATATATATATATATACATATACATATATACAGCAGGAAGGGGATAGCAGGTAGAGAGCAGCAGGTAGAGAGCAGCAGGTAAGAGGGCAGCAACAGCAAATAGAGAGCAGCAGTAGGTAGGGAGAAGAAGCAGAGGGCAGCAGCAGGTAGAATAGCTGATACAGATAAGCAGCAGGTGGTACAGAGCAGCAGCTGGTAGTAAAGAGCAGCAGGTATGGAACAACAGCAACAGGTAGAGAGCAGCAGTATGTAGATGGCAGAAGCATGTGCAGGTAGAGAGCAGCAGGTACAGAGCAGAAGGTGCAGCGTGGCAGAAGTGGGTACAGAGCAGCAGCAAGTGCAGCAGCAGCAGATACAGAGCGGCTGCTACAGAGCAGCAGCAGGTACAGAACAGTAGCAGATACAGAACAGCAGCAGGTACAGAACAGCTGCAGGTACAGCTCAGCAGCAGCTACATGTAGCGAGCAGCAGCAGGTACAGCTCAGCAGCAGCTACATGTAGAGAGCAGCAGCAGGTACAGAGCAGCAGCAGCTACATGTAGCGAGCAGCAGCAGGTACAGCTCAGCAGCAGCTACATGTAGCGAGCAGCAGCAGGTAGAGAGCAGCAGCAGGTACAGCTCAGCAGCAGGTACAGCTCAGCAGCAGCTACATGTAGAGAGCAGCAGCAGGTACAGAGCAGCAGCAGCTACATGTAGAGAGCAGCAGCAGGTACAGAGTGGCAGCAGCTATATGTAGAGAGCAGAAGCTACATGTAGAGAGTGGCAGCAGCTACATGTAGAGAGCAGCAGCTACATGTAGAGAGCAGCAGCAGGTACAGAGCGGCAGCAGCTACATGTAGAGAGCAGCAGCTACATGTAGAGAGCAGCAGCAGGTACAGAGCGGCAGCAGGTACAGAGCAGCAGCAGCTACATGTACAGAGCAGCAGCAGCAGGTGCAGAGCAGCAGCAGCAGGTACAGAGCAGCAGCAGCAGGTACAGAGCAGCAGCAGCAGGTACAGAGCAGCAGCAGCAGGTACAGAGCAGCAGCAGGTGCAGAGCAGCAGCAGCAGGTGCAGAGCAGCAGCAGCAGGTACAGAGCAGCAGCAGCAGGTACAGAGCAGCAGCAGCAGGTACAGAGCGGCAGGTAGCAACAGATGACGTTGATAAAGTTTCAGTTCCTGGTATTCACCAACGCAGCTCACCGCATTCACGGAGAAAGTAGAGACAAAATAAGTTTCCTTTTTTTTTTTTTTTTACAGTCTCTACTGCTGTTTTGATAAATTAAATTAAATCAAAGTCAAACACTTGGATCGTTTGTTGTGAGGTGACCGGTGAGCTCAGTGACAGCAGTTACACACCAACATCAACTAGTTTATAGAAACAAGCGCAACGTAAACACTTCTGTAAACTGAATTCTGAAAACGGCTTCAACCTGAGAGCCATTAACGAGCCAGCTCTACAACAATTAACTGTAAAGATTTATCTAATTAACGGCTGTGTGCAACCACTGGAAGCGAACATCTGTTAGTGATGTGACAGCTGCCTGCAGCTAACGTCGCTGCTAACGTCTCGTTAACTCACCCAGCTCAGGAAGCGTAAGATTGTCTGAGGCTGTTTCAAAAAGCTCCAAAAATCAAAGGCACCACCGGCCAGAGAGGCCCCATAAGCACCGCTGTGCATTTTATTTTTATATGTGACACGGTTGAAAGATGAGCCGTGAACTGTTCCTGTCAAAGTGTGGGGCAGTTAGGGATTTTTTTAAAACAACTTCCTGAAAACTTTTCAAAGACCGCCCCCTTTTTGGATGCGTTCAGGTGCTCCTCGGAAACTGTCCAACTTACTGATTCTGGTTAGACGGCAAACAATTATAATAATAATAACAAAAAAATAAATTCGTCTATATCTTTTTTTGCATGACTGTAACAGTTTTTTTAACAAACATATAAATAATCATGAGTGCATCGTTTTCACAGTTTCTCTTCACTTCAGAACCAGAATTAGCTGAATGTCACTTAAAAGTTGACTAAAAATGAAATCCCACAAGAAAATTCAAATTTAGTAGTAGAAAGGAATTTTGGGCATCTATTAGAAATGTTATGTTTTAAGCATGTTCTAACATAAAGCAAGTCATAATAAAGAGGAAAAATAGAAATACTGACCTGCCTCTAAACCCTGATCCCTTAAGAGAATTAAGCAAACATAAATTTTGGCCATTTGAAAATATTTAAGTGATAAACAAAATAGCCAAAACTTAATGGATTTTATGTTTGCTCTTTTTAAGACATTATGATGCAACATAATGCTTAATTTATCTCTAAGTGGGCTACTTATTAAATTAATTGTCTACCAATTATGGGAAAAACTGAAATAGTTCTGCACAATTCTGCACAAGTGTGTGGAAACAGGACAGATGTTAAAAAGGCTCCCTCTGTTGTCAAGGTTGAAGATCTCTGCTGTCGCTGAATAGTTTATTTTATTTATTTATTTTTAATAATCTGATTTGTAGCAGTCTGTGAAGTTAATTTATACCGGTACTGAACTTTCTCTTCAATCCTCAACATTTTCAAAGCATCTTTTCTGAAGCCACTTAATAAAAGTCTGTACACTGAGAACTTATTAAGTGTGAGTTTTAAAGATTAAAACAAATAAATTAGGCTTAAGATAGTTGGCAATCAATTAAACAAAGGTTAAAATTACCTTTTGTTTTACAGAAACAGCATGAATTACATATATATATATATATATATATATATATATATATATATATATAT